TTAAGCTAACATGACCTAATGCCACAGTAAGTACAAAACAAGTGCTGTACTTACTTCTAATAGGTTTTCAAAGAGCTTGTATGCTCACTGTCTGAAAATGAATGTCTTGGGTAAGTGAGATGTTAAAAAAGAATATTCACAGAACATTCACACTCCCATCATTTCACTGGCATGCTTCATATGGAGGCACATCAGCTGTTTCTCAGCACTTCAGATGGATTTTTAATGTCATGTTTTCTCCTTTGCATGCTATTACTTTTAGTCAACAGACCCAATGTAGGTTAATATAACCTAGAGAAAGATTTTCCTATCAGGCACTCTCTAATCAAAACACAACTCAGTATTGTGATCTTCCAGAGAAGGAAGGAATTTGAGGAGGGAAGCTAAGCTGCAAGAACCATGAATTCCCTGAGGTTCTTCACCTGAGAGAGGGCACTTGCCTATGAATCCCACCATGCAAGTCTTGGTTCACTGTCTTCTCCAAAACAGTAATTTTTAGGTTCTAGGGATTTTTTATTATTATTTTTTTAACTTGGCTCATAAACCAGGTAACAGAGATAGGATGGACTAAGAGCAGAGAAAACCAACCTAGGGTGGACTAAACGTGGAGAAAGCCAGTCTGAACTTGACAGGAATCAAAAAGCAAGGCTCTCCAAAACAACAGACCTATATCGAGCTGACCTGCTGTATGTTACTATCCTCCTACAAAACATGATTTTCTCATCTCTTCTCCCACAAGCTTCTAAAGGGACTGACTATAAAAGGGAATAAGACAAAGAAATCCAAGCATTTACAGCCAGCTTTCAGGAACCTACCACAGCCCAACTACAGTAACTTGCTGTTCTTTCAAGTCACCCTAAAAATAAGTAAATTCTCTTTTCTCAAAGAGACCCAGTGGCCATCTCCCCCAGATCTGACACCTCCTTACTGCGTTGTGAGATTAAAATAACCCTCAAAAGGTTTTTATCAAGTTAGAACTGGAAGGGCTGTTATCTGACAACTCCTGCTTGGTCCTTTTGACCTGTCCGAAGTGCTTATCACTTGCGCAGCCCCTGATTACATTGCCCAGCTACTTTAAATGTGAAACACAGTCCTGTGCTTTCTGACAAGAGCCTAAAGGTGGCCAGGAGTGGAAACAGGGCAACAGACAATGACAAACGACTAAACTCCCAATACTATGGGGTCTGAGATCACTGGATCCCAAAATAAACATGCTACAAGTATTGAAACACTTGTCACAAGACATATTTCTAACTGTTCTTTTACAACCACCATTTTACTGTTTGATGACACAACAGGTGGAAGGCTTAGCTGTTCCTCCTACTAAGATGTATTCCAGCCTGACAGGTTTTTATTTTGCTAAAGCACACACACACACTTCACAGACATAATGGAGAACTTTCAAATTCAGAATCATTCCAGCAGCCATAAAACCTGTTCTTTCTTTCCCTCCTCCCCCCAAAATGCATAGATTTTTTTCTGCAGGCTTTTCACTTACCTCTCCCATAGCCCGTCCTTCCAGAGCAAGCGCTTGAAAATCATGATTCAGCTCATCCATGGAACGCACCTATTTACAGATGGGCAAGAAAATTAAATGAGGAAATGCTTGTATTTGTTTCTCTTCATAACAGTTTACAGCAATTTTTCTGGTACAGACTGAGAGTTACATTCCATATTACAGCATGTAACAAGGTTACTGAGCTCCAAAGGATGACTTACCTTTAAGAGTTCCAGAAGCTAAAACATTTATAGCATTAGATTTATACATAGACAGAAAAGGAGAAACTAGCAATTACTTTTAAGACACACAAAGTCTAAATGCAACTGCCTTTGCTAAGCACATTGGAGACACTAATATTTCACAGCGAGTTGCATGATTTCTAGTGAGGAAGTCAATGCATAAGCAACGAGTCAGAAACATTTCCCTTCAGGTGAAAATCAAGTATAGACTCTAGAAAAAAAACTGGCAAGGTTACATTCAAGTTACATGGATGTCTCTCATCGGGACAAGTCCTTACAGATGCAGCCATTGAGCAGAAGGGGAAAAAAAAACCAAGAAAACAACTATGGACTTGAGGACAAAGCACAGAGGTTCAACCACGTGCTGAGATTCAAACTGAATGATTGCTCTCCTCAGGTAACACACCTGTATCAAAGCAGGGCTTATTCCAACAGCCACAAACACTTACGATGGCACATAAGCAATACAACACACCTCCTACTCAATGTTTACACAATCCCTGCAACCCAACAGATCTGATACAACTTTCTGCTAGAGCAGGTTTGTAAACACTTGTTTATGAGGAATCCACACCCTCTATTCACCATAGTCCTTTAGGGACTTTTTAATATGCAGTGTTCGGTCATGTCACCACTGAAGATGTTGCAGGCGATTTGGACACAGCCCCTTCCAGGCCAAGTGAAGGAACCTGGTGGGTGACTTAGAGGACAAAAAAACCCAAAAACTGCTTTAGACAATAATGCACCACCCTGCCAGTGGCCAGTGCTGTAAGCATATTCACTGACCTTAACCCTGACTTCTGATAGTCATGCCACTACTTCCAGCAGAACCAAGTCCAGACTTTGTTACAATTGTTTAATCAGATCTGAATTCTTCTACTATTCTGTGACAATACTACCGTGCAAAAGATTAGTAACATTGTTAAACTACCTAATACATATTTATCTAATTTACAAATTCTCAATGGCCAGTCACAGTTTAAAAATAAGGTATCCTCTCATTACTTTATCTCAGTTCAAAGTTATTTTCAGTTGTACTTCAGTCTTACCACCTCCTGTGTTGACGCTTATCACATCCACCATGAACACACAGACTAAAAGCAGGACTGCACCTTCCAGAAACTACAGCAACACCAAAGACTTTCCTTTGCTGTCAACCCCATCCCTGATCTGCCAGCAAAGATAGCTCAGTTGCCTCATGTGAGATAGAGGTTAATAAGACCAAATTCTTCTGTGAAGAATTTCAAGCTGAACTTATGGAAACCCTCAGATGTGCTAAGCCACAGAAGCTGAACAGCAGCAAATTATTATTTCCATGAGCCATCTGAGGAAGAGTGATGTTCATTACTCTCCCTGTTTAAGCAATGTCCCAGCAAACCACAGGTGCAGCTGCAATGGCCCTGCTCCAGGCCATGCAGTGCTGTGGGATGTGCTGGTGCAGGAGCAGAGGCTGCTTTAGCACATGTCCCCCAGCCTGGCCCAACCAAACTCCCAAAGGTGGATCTCGTGCTATGGGAACCTCAAGACAAAGCTGCAAGAAAGATACATTCCTAGCATAAAGAAAAAGGATATTCAGAGACATATGTATGTTCTTTTGGTCACACCCCAGCCCTAGCAGTTCCCTGCTGCCAGGCTGAGCTCCCCTCACAGCCCCTGTCACACTCAGGTCCCTGGTGAAAGTCCCGTGCAGAACACACAGGCAGCTTCTGACCAAGAATGACCTCTACTTCTCAGCCCCTCTCGCCCTTCTTTATGATACTTCAGCATGTTAGGTGGCCATCGAGTATTTTTAAAAATGCATCTTCTATTTGTTCACATTAGATGCAAGAACATTTTCACAGATGTCTTGCTTAAGCACTTGTCTTGAGTAGAAAAACGTGTCATCTTGTTAGACCAATTACAACAGCACAAATATGAGACTCACATCCACACACGAAGCTGTGCTCCCATGCTGGCCTGAATTCTTGGTGGAGAAGATAGAGCTGGTGTAACAAGGACATAGTTTTCAGCACTGTCAAAGCCTTCAATGCAAGCTCATGATCTTCCAACAGAAACCACAGCAATTCTTGTTTCTCCAAGAGGTACAGCCCAGTAAGCTACACAGCCCTCCCCAGTGCTGACCATCTGTCTGCTTCCAATGTGGAAATGCATGTTTGTCTTCCAATGATGCCATGATAATTAATAACTACAGAGGTGATACAGAGACCAAAACAGAGTGGTAAAAGCCAAAAGGAGGATTAACTTTACAGCAAAGTGCATCTCAGCTCTTTCATACCTGGTTGGTTTAACCACACCATTATTTTCACTTCTCTGGTAAGGGTCTGACAGAAGTGTCCTTCAAACATGTCCTAGCTTGCAAATTGCCATCCTGTCCTCCCAGATAAATGATACACCATAGAAAGCTGCTTCCATCTCCTTCCCAAATATACTTTATCCCAATAACTATTAAAAGTAGAAAAAATAATATTGGTTTCTTTATCTGCTATCAGACATCAGGCAATGGAAGAAATTATTCATCACAGATATTTAAGTCCCACCCTTAATAATCTCTCTTACACCAATACTAACAATGATGGATAAAAACATTTTCTAAATCAGGTTTTCATGCCTTACTTTGGGGCACTGTATGCTCAAACATATCCACCAATTTTGAGGCCCTCTCTTAGTCACATAGTTCCTGTATCTCCACAATTTGCTGTATTTATTTGTAATACAGGCCAGTTTATTATTCAGTTTTCAAAGACTGAACCAAAAGGTTCTCTTCTCATTTCCCCACTTCCATAATATCAAATAGCAACTCTTCTTTCACCTAGTTGTCTTCTAGTGTCCACAAACACTACAGGGCTCCCATTTCCTTTTGAAAGGAGAACGAACAGTTTCTGAAACAGCATCACACGAAGCCAAAGTCACTTTCCTACACCTTAGCATTCCAAAAGGCAGGCAATACTCTGGAATGATAATTAGATATAGGTGATCTGCCACCTCACCAGGATCTATTCCTGTTAACAATCACTGACCTATAATGAACATAGACAGGGAGAGCAGAGTCACAATGGTGTAAACACTAGAAGCAAGGAGGTCCACAGAAAGATAACTTATTCACAGATGAGTACTACTATCAAAGAGATTCAATTACCATAAAATTGGGTTCACCACTGAGCCTGAGTTTTTAAAGAAATCCAGAAGACAATGCCAAGATAAATTGGCTGCACAATGAAGAAGTGCCCTCACATCTGGATATGACATGACAACCTGGTTCTTTGGAGGAAGAAGAATGGAAGGGTCTGGAGCATGAGCCTTCTAAGGAGTGTCTGAGGGAACTAGGATTGTTTCATCTGTAGAAAAGAAGGCTGAGGGGAGACCTTCTTGCTCTTTACAGTTGCCTGAAAGGAGGCTGGAGCAAGGGGGGAGTCAATCTCTTCTCCCAGAGAGCAAGTGATAGAACAAGAGGAAATGGCCTCAAGTTGTGCCAGGGAAGGTTTAGATTGGACATTAGGAATAATTTATTCCTCTTGTCAGGCTCTGGCACAGACTGCCCAGAGCAGTGGTGGAGTCTCCATCCCTGGAGGGATTTCAAAGCCACATAGGTGTGGTGCTGAGGGACATGGGTTAATGGTGGCTTTGGCAATGCTGGGTTAACTGTTGGACTTGATGATCTTAAAGGTCTTTTCCAACTCAAATGATCCCATGATTATCTAGTTAATTAAAGAGATGATCTTGAGAAACATCAGGAATCACATGAAGTGAACCAACAAAACTTGACTCCTGCTCTCAGCCAGCAGCACCCCTCAAACACCCATTTCAGTCACTTCCAGGCAGGCAAGATGCAGAGTGCACTGCCTCAGCACCTACCAGGACCAGACCTCCCTACCTTCTTGTCAAGAGTTCTTGTCCTTTCTAATAGCACCAACAACCAGCAAGCTTGCTTTTAAAGCCTGCTTAGCAAAACTCAGGCTCTGCACATCACTGCTACCGAACAAGAGTTACAAAGCAATTTAATTGCCTAAGAACATTCTTCTCTTTCACATTAAATGCTGTGTATGCACTCAGGAATTATGTAAATCTCACCAAAATTAATGAACATCTCATTCAAGAAGAGTACTTTTCAGGCACGCTAATATATGAATGTGTGTCACTGTAACACACTCCAGCTCACAGCCACTTCACTGGCTCAGAAACAGCCTCCTGCCTGCAGGGTGGCAGCGCCCACCACAGAACAGATTTGGCCAGCATGCTATGGAGACGCTAGAGCAAACCCAGGGGAGCACTTCACCAAGCCTGGAGGCAGCTCAGTCTTTCAAAGCCTTCCTAACCAGTTCTCACCTTTGCTCTGAAAAACATATGATAGAGCAAGAGACAGCTGCAGCACTCATTGCAGACTCTCTAGGTCAGACCTCCTCATCTCATTTTTGGTCTCCTCAATAGAACCTTTGGCCCCACTCATGCTGAGGCTACAGAGACCTTTCCAAGTTTCAAGAGCAGATACCCACTGCCCATTTTAGAGAGGACAGGATAAAACACACCATGCTTTCTGCTCTCATCTACTGCAGACTGCAATACCAACCAATTTCTCCCCAGGTCAACAGTCACTTTCAAAACTCTACCTCCCACGCAGCAGAAGAGCTTCTCAGCCACTCTGCACTGAACATTCACTGTGGATCTTCCAACCCCTCAAGCAGCTCACAGCTAATTTATGTCAAGTAGCCATCTTACACAGGATATATTTATTTTTTGAATAAGATTAGAGGGTCTCACCATTGCAAACTCAATGACAGCAGCTCAGAATCAAATGCTCTCCTGGTCCCAAATCCACCCAGACATTAGTCC